GCCGAGAGGATTTGAGGTAGGATACAAAGAAGTGTCTCATACAGATGCATTCCTAGAAATAGAGTGTGAAATTCTGGCTAAAGACATCCAAAAATTGTATCTCTTTAAAAATATGACTATCCATGGGAGTTCCATTAATTTCCATTCAAATTGATTCATTTATTAGGCACCTAGGTGTACGTCTAGGATCTGAGGCTACAGCAGGGGATGAAACAGATGTGATCCTACTTTCACAGAACTTAGCAGGGAGACAGACAGTCAACATGGGAGCAAATACATGGCAGCAGTTCAGTTCCCACGGTGGCAGTGCTGTGAAGCAAATGAAATGAAGCAGTGAGATTAGTAGTGATTTGAAAGGGACAAGCCCGTGGTGAGAACTCCAGGGTGTGAGTGGAGAGGCTCGGGGTGCTGGAATAGACTTAAAGGAGAAAGCTGCAGCCTTCTCCTACCTTACACTTCTCCAAAGCTTCTCAAACCAAGAGAAAAGCTTTGACAATGTGGTCCTCCCTCCATGCTCTTTGGGATTTAATCACTTTTAAATTCTTACACTGTATCACTAATGTTCAAATACGTAGCAAACTTTAATTGCTCTTTCTTTTGATGTTTTAGAATGGAATATATTGCAGGATCTTAGAGTGCCTTAGGTTTAGTTCATTAATCTCAGGGTTAATGCCAGTGAGCATAAATAAATGAGATTTTCCATTAAATAAAATGGCAGGTGGCTGGGAGTTTACTGTATCAATGTAATTCTACTTCATATGTGAAGTATCACTGGAATGGAGGATGCAGCTTAGTGATGCAGTGCTTGCCTAGTGTGCGTGAGGCCTCACCCCTCAAAAAACAAACCGAAATCCCCACTGTTCTTTGCTCCAAAAAGCTCCGAAAAATAAGTTTTAGAAACATCAGTGGATTTGCTGCATTTTTTAGTGACAGTGCCCAAGATAGTTTTGCATTCTGTAGCAAATTAGGAAATCACCTCTAATGGGGTTGGATGTGTGGCTCAAGTAGGAAAGCACTTAACATGTGCAAGGTTCTGGGTTCAATCCCTAGTACTGCCCCCCCCCAAAAAAACCAGCAAAATCATTTCTTAACTGGCTATAGTGGTACACACCTGTAGTTCCAGCACTTGGGAGGCTGAGGCAGGAAGGATATCAAGTTTAGGGCTAGCCTGGGTTACATACTGAGTTCTAGGCCAGTCTCAGCTATGTAGTGAGACCTTGCCTCAAAAAAACACCTAAGAAAAAAGCGTCTTTACATTGACCGGTGCTTTCTACTTTACCACCAGTGTACAGATTCTCCATTTCAGTAGAAAGTAAGGTGTGGAGTTATGATAGCCCCAGGTTATAGCCTGTTGTTCTTCATTGGTCCGGAAAGCCTCAGGAGTCAGAGTGACAGCAGATACTGAAAGCAGTACCTCACAAAGCTGCATTTTCCAAATTTCCATGGGTGTCATCCTCAGGATTTTGCTATATTCTGTACTGTGAATACTATTAAACGTTTAATGTTTTTCTCTACATTGACTCATTGTTTGCTTACATACATTTACTTATGAATGTTTATATTATTGAAATAAATGGAAGGTAATTTTAAGTTTATACTTTTAAGCATGAACACAGTGTCTGGACCATCTGAAGTAGTTATTCCCATTTTGGCTGACACTGCTCACACAGCAGGCTGGACATGCCGCCTGATCAGGTATGAGTTCAGACGATTTACCTTGCTTCTCCAAGCCTCTGCATCCATTTCTGTACAGTGGGGATAATGAGGTATCATGGACTGCCAAGTCCTAAGCTCTGTGCCTAACATGGTAATTAATAAGGGAAGCAACTATGAGAATGTCTTGTTGAAGTGGTTGTTGTTTTTATTAGTCTGATGTAAAGAATAATGGAGATTTAGAAATCATACAAGCAGTTCTACTCTGCACTTAGAGATGGTGCTGAAGGTATTAAATGGTAAACCAGAGTTGGTCAATTCTGGCTGTGTCCCCAGCTTCCCATGACTGGCTGTGACTTGGACAAGCCATTTAACTTCTGTAGAGTTTGGTTTATTCATCAGACAAATTAGGAGGCTTGATTTGATTTGACCCAAGGCAAATAGCTCACGGGCTGCCAGCTGTCTGAGTGTCTCAGATAATGGGATAATGGGACATGGCTCATCTCAAATCTGAACATCTTCTGTTGGTTTTGTTCTAACTGGCTATTTAGCAAATACACAAAATAAACTTCATAGTTGGGGTCAGCATGCGTGACTGATGGTCACCAGATAGCACATGAAGCTGGACCAATCGGTATTTGTTTTTGAAGCTGTGTATAATTAATTACATAAATATGAGATGTTACAGTTCAATCCTTGTAAAATTATATCACAAAAAGTGAGGCATTTCTGAAGCATTTATTGACAAAAGAAAAATACTAATAAACCCTCTTTACACATTTGACTCACTTAGTTTATTATGTTTGCCAAGCCTGGAAAGATTTGACTCATCACTGCTATCCATAAAAATCACGTAGGTGACTTTCCAGCCTTGTGGTGCACTGTTGACATAATTTTTTATATCTCTACTCTGGAGGACTTGTTATGCCCATTCCAGATCTGCGATTCTATAAAAAAGAAAAAAAAATGTTGGTGGTACTGGTATTTGAACTCAGGGCCTTGAGGGCTTGCTAAGCAAGTGCTGTATCATTTGAGCCATACCCTACCCCTTTTTGGTTTAGTTATTTTAGTTATTTTTTCAGATAGGGTTTTAGATTTTTGCCTAGGCCAACCTGGACTGTGATCTACCTCCTGAATAGCTAGGATTACAGGTATGAGCCACTGCGCCTGGCCAGATTCTAGAATTTTAATGAATTTCAGTCTCCTGATAAGGTAGATCTGGACTGTGTAGCAGTGTAGTTGAAATTGAGAAAGGAAAATAAAATTTAAAAGTTTGAGGCACTGAGTTCAGTTTCCAGTACTGAAAAATGAATAAGTGGATGGATGAATGGATGAATAAAATTTATAAAGCCTGCTCTAGTTGTTTCCTTAGATGGTTGTATATATGTGTAAGTGTATATATTTGTGTGTTAGCATAATACATACTATCACTAATTTTTCTCACTTAAGAGTATAGCTTAGAAACTCCCCCATTTGTGTGGTTTCTTCTTTTGACTATCACAGAGTATGCCATTGGATGATGACAGTTAGTAGCCCATCTCCTTATGATTCAAGCGTTTACTTCTGCTATCACTCAAAATAACCCTGCAATGAGAATCTTGCACATGTTAGCTTATCTGCAGGTTAAAGTTGCTGAGTCAGAGGATTTTGTAATTTGGATTGAAACAAGTTGTTCTTTGTTGAAGTTGACTCACAACCCATTGCCACCAACAATGTGTGAGCAAGCCTGTTTCCGTGCAACCACTTTTCCTCCCTGTGTTTCTGTATTCCCAGTTTAAACACTGCCGAACTGCACTGGTGTCGTCTCTGGGAAAATGCTGATTATTAGAGGGTGATCGTTACTACTTGTATAAATTTTAGAGTGAATATTACATTAAAGGCCACTTTAAACTATATATATTTGCTGAATTAAATGGCTGTCCCATTAAGCATCTCGGAATGGGCTTTACATTGCTTCAGAGCTCAATTAAACCGGCACAGGAAAACCTCCAATTTGAAAATTATCAACAAATTAAAGCCTTCCATGGAGGTACATTCTCATCACGTAATGAACCACAGTGTACATATTATGCAAAAGATTTGGCTGTAACCACATTATTTACTCTCTTGTTTTTACATTCAAAAGGAAAAGGCATATTTCTGAGTGCTGTTTCCCTTTTTTTTCAGAGAAAACTAATAGCTGATACAGTTGGGCTAAAACACAAAAAAGTCACCCTCTTATTAGTCTTTAATTCTGTTTACTGTGTGATTATGTACAACAGGTGCATACACACACAGTCTCTAGATTCCAGAGCGATTGCTTCTGTGCTTCATGTAAGGGTAGTTTGTGATATTGAAAAACAAGAGTGCTCTTTTCTTTTTAAAATTTACATCTTCTTAGATTTATGAAAATTGTAAAAGATACTCATAAACTACTGTGTTCTATAATTATTCTCTGCTGCAGTGTAATGTATATAAAGTAATTCCTAAAGGAACTCAGAAGATTGTTTTCTATGTTAAAAACAATTTTCTAAAATTGACTGTTTTTCTAATAGTTGATTTTTTGGCCCTTATAGGAATAGCAGAGATTCAGTAACTCTGTAAATGAAGATTTTGTCCCAGTTTTATTTTCAAATATGGTCCTTAATAAAATACATCCTAATTCACTTAAGGGAGACCTTACAAAGATGTATTGACCTATTTGAAAAGGAACTGAAGTGTTGGCTATAGTATTTATAGTGAAGATGATAGTTAAATCACACAGAATAACTTATAATTAATATAAAATTGCTCAGTTACTCAAATACAAATTTAAAAGTTATTAGGCAGTTACCTTTTATGCTTTCCTTTTTAGCACATATATTACATTCCAGAGAAAATGCTTATAGTTAGAGATTCATGTTGAATTTAAATTTTGTCTCCCCAAGGAGCGCAGTGTGTTGCTGTAGTCAGACAGTGAAAGAATGGGCCTTCCACAAAACGTGGCTTTGTTGTGGTGTGTATTTCTTTGGGTCCACCCCAGAAACACACCCCAAAACTCATCACTGTTTGCACTCAAGGAACAAAATCGTTTTCATTGAGCCATAGCACCCTCTAGCACCCTAGTTTGTGTTTTTAAAATTCAAGGAAACATACAGCTTACACCCACCAAACAAACCATTGATATAATATGATCGGCTATCTCTCATACCCATATGAATAGAAAGACCATGGAAATTGTGGCGACTGAGAAGAGGCATCAGCATCTTTTCAGAGTAGTTGGGTGTGACCATGAGCTGTGGCTTGACCTCTTGCACCCTGTGGAGAAGCAGTTTGTAGACAGTGTCCTCCCAGCCAGCTGTCTAAGCATGTTCACTTGTGTGTTGCAGGTACTTCTCCCAGCAGCTGGCCTGTTGCAGTTGCAGGATGTGAAGAAGACTTGCTGTGAATTTTTGGAGTCCCAGCTTCACCCTGTCAATTGCTTAGGAATCCGGGCTTTCGCTGATATGCACGCCTGCACAGACCTCCTGAATAAGGCCAACACCTACGCAGGCAAGTGGAATAGACCTGGGCTGAGCCTGAAGCTGGGGGAATCCTGAACTCTTGGGCTCCAGTCTGATTCTGCGGTGGTTTCTGGAAAGTCACATTATGTTTCTGGAGCCAGACTTCGACAAAATACACTTAAAATCTTATAATGGTAGCACTCATAAAAATCTGTCCTTAAAAGCAGCTATATTCGTGTTGAGCAAGCACAAGGGTCTGAGTTCAGCTCCCAGTACCACAAAAACAAACAAAAACCTAAAAGTTGCTATTGAGACTGAATTATAAAATAGTTTTGAATCTATGTACTTTTCTTTCAAATCATCAAGTGAGTAGGCAGATGAGAAAATGTACACATGTGAAATTTGTTTTGTCTTTTTTCTTTTTAAATACCTTTTTTACTTGCATCCATGGAAGCAGTTTTGTGGCTTAAAAATCTTTGAAATAGTGAGATGTAGCTGTTTCTCGGTGGAGTAGAAAGTAGGTTCCAAGAATGGGCAGCTATCTCCTTAGGCCTGGTTGCCAGGGTCGTCCAGCCTCCGCTCTGGGCAGAGGGAGCCAGCCCTGTGGCTGCTGTGCAGGTCCTCAGCCCCCACCTGCAGCTGGGCAGGAGAGGTGGGTATTGGTTCTTTGGATCAGCAAGAGTTCACAAAGGTGACCCTTAATTTGTTTTTCTTTGAGTTTATAAACATTTAAAAGTATATATTAGAAGTCATAACTAGGAACTTGCCAGTTTTGAAAATCATCTTTCTGGAAGACAAACCTGGTGGAAGTTACAATCCCCTATCGCTTGCCATACTGTTGGCCTGGGTGTGTGAGATTCAATAGTCAAAGATTGCCTAAGAGCCAGGGATTACACAGCGAGTTCCAGGACAGTCTCAACAAAATTTAAAAACAAGAGACTTTTGAAATTTTTTGTGTATGTGTGTGTGTGCGTAGTAGGGTTTGAACTCAGACCTTTAAACTTGCTAGGCAGACATTCTATCATGTTTTAAAAAAAAATTTAATTAATTAATATTTTTATTGTACTGGGTAGGAATACATTGTGGCATTTTCAAAAATTTTTACAATATGTCAAATATGTCATACTTGAATTTACCCCTCTATCATTCTCCCTTATACCCCCATCTCTGGCCCCCCAGTTCCTGGAATAGTTTTGACAGGTTTCGTTTTTCCATTTATATACACTTGTACACAGTGTTTCAATTCTATTCACCCTCCTACCCGATTTCTCTACCTCCTCCCTTTTTTTTTTTTTTGGACAGGGTCTCCCTGTGTAGTTCAAGCTGACTTCAGACTCATGATCGTCCTGCCTCAGCCTTCCAAGTGCTAGGATTGTCACCGAGCACTGGAATTAGATTCTAATTGTAAATCGAAACATGAATTTCATTTAGCCTTCCTTGTTGATAAGACTTGCCAGTGGTTGAATTTCAAGAGTTTCAAGCAAATTCAAGAGAAAAAAATAATTCTAGATTCTTAGTTACTCCTATACCTTCCATTTCCCATTCTGAAAATTTGAGAAACTACTTAATTCCAGTTCTGACTGGCCTTTGGGGAAATATGCAGTAGTGTTTTCAAGCCAGTGTTGGACCTAAAATTCTGGGTCTGGTAAGCGAGCACTCAGCATTCCTCAGTGATAGAACACCTGCAAAGAAGTCCTCGTCTCAGCCATGATGTGTTCCAGTTTGTTTCCCATCTGCTTCTTGCTCTTAACCATGTTACCTTGTACACATTCCTGGCCTCCAAGTTGGTAACTTATAGTTCCCCAGGCACCGTACTGTCCTGCTGTGTTCCCACTATGTCTATAAGACAGTCAGACTTTTTTAGGGACAGCTGTTTTCATGTGTGTTCTCTCTCCCTTTGTCTTAAGTGAAACTTTGCTTTCTCCCCACAAACTACATGTTGGGGCAGACGTCATTAAGGTGACTCCCTCCCTCCTGTAGGCGAGTAGAAGATTCACTTCCAGACTGTTCTCTGTCACTAACCTCAGCTCTGCTCTGGCTGGCTGTTGTTTGCCGTATACTCTCTGCAGCACTTTCTCTCTTGGCCTCCAGGCAATGTATTTCCACCTTTCCCCATCGCTTATTTCTCCTGCTATCAGCAGCTCGGAAATTCTATATTCTTCCCCTTTTGAGACCCCACTGCATCCTTCCTTGGGATTATCATCTGTCCTCTAAACTCATTTATCATCTCAGACCACAATTCCAGAGCATGTTGGACTTTGTTGGTATTTGAAACTCCTGGATCTCAGCTTTTGTGCTGACTGTATTCCTGCCTTCTCATCCTCTTGTTTTTCTTCATAATTCTGTGGCCTCTGATCCCATTTCTGCCAGACAACTCTTGGCTGTTCAGCTCAGACCCAATAATCAGTCCTTTCAAAGCTACCCTCTATGCTGTGCCTAGCATTGCTCAAATCTGCTATGGGTGATAGCTTTTACTCTTGCTTGTAAGTAGGTTGTAGTACAGTCATATGTATTATATGTCTTAATCTCTGTAAAAGTGATTCGTAAAAGATTTTCTTCTGTAAAAATATTCCTTCAATTATTTGTTCACCTTTTTATAATTTAGGCTAGCAATCACTGCTTAGGGTAAACATCTGTCAGAATGTCCCATGATTTGAATGCTGCCCTCTTGAAAGAAACTTGTGTTGAGTGGTTTTAATAATGGTATTACCAGCCTTGACTGTGTGATTTTGCATACTAGAGAATAGTTGCTGATTATTCAAGGGTCTATTGCAGTGTTAATTTATTGACACGGTTCTCTTCTTTGGAGAATAGTGAAAGCATGTGATGCACAGCACTTAACTGACTTGAATAACACTTTCTTCCCTTTTAAAATTAGTGTATTAATTGTACAGAAGGGTTCATTGTGGTATTTCTGTACATGCATATAATATACTTTGATTAAATTCTCCCCTCTATTGCTCTTTCTTATCCTTTCTGTCCCTTTCTTAGAATAATTTTTAATGGGTTTCATTCTGTTTTCATATATGTGTATAAAGTTCTTCAATCATATTCAACCCCCCTCACAGTCTTCTTTCACCCTCCTTGAATGACACTTCTTAAAAATGATAATTTTCATATTTTACATTCATTATGGTCTTTGTTTATGTCTTAGTAGTCTGCATGTAATACTTGCTGTGCTTTGTTGACAGATGAGTTAGCTGTTTTCAGGTTTCACCGAATTGTACTGATAGAACTGGTGGAGATATACATGTCAAATTTTCCCCTAGAGATTAATGGTATTGAGAATTTAAGAATCCTTAAAATTACGTACCATAACACTTAATTTTATTAATTAAAGAATATTACCCTAACACTTAATTTTATTAATTAAAGAATTTTATTAATTAAAAAATACAATATTTTCCCCAAAGCACTTTGTCTGTTAGGGGTAGAAAAAGGTTTGTAGATCTGAGATACTGTTTTGTTCCTTATGTATTTATCACTTTTCAGATGGGATTCTACATTAGGTAAAACACAGGAATTCCTTCTGGAATGTAGTTTTCCCGAAAAGGTGCCTGATATTTAGAGATCAAATACAGGTGGTACTCTTTACCTAATTGCATAGTACACAATAGAACAAGTAAGATTTTTGGGCTTACATTGCTGATTTCACTGCACTTATTTTGGATGAAAAACCTGACTTGATGAGCTTTGTTGGCATGGTGTGACAAATGCTAGGGATTGTCTTTCTTTTTTATTAGTTAGCCTATTTTATTTGCTGGAGAGAAGCAAACATAAAAGCTTAACTGTGTTAGTGAGTGAAGGTAAATCCTTACATGCATATACACGTATGATAGACTATGTATGCATATTGTACATATGCAGTGTGTATGTGTGATATATATATATGCACATATATAAAACATATTAATGGCATAGTCTACATGACTAGAAATTAATGCTTTCTTGCATTTATGTTATTTGCTCAGAGAAGGAATTGATCTATTAATAAATGCCAGTATAGATACTTAGGCTTTATTCAGTGGCCAATTATAAACTACTAAAGGCAAATTATCAATGTCACAATGAGGCTGTGTGTTGTAAACAGGGATTTGCTACTATGTGGGCAAACAGATTGGAAACAGCAGTTGAGATTGGTAACAAAGAGAACTAGAGGTGATAAGTGAAGCAAGTTTGTAGATATGGTAAATAAACCATGCATATGAGCAGAGGAAAGAGACTAAACTCTGAGGAAGCCTGCTCTTTAGCATTACATTTTTGGTGACTTCTTTGCAAGTATCTTACTGTGTGCATATATATTGCCATTGTGCAATAGCTGCCAGTTTTTACTGTACCCTACTAAGAAGCAGGAAGAATTTTGTGACAAGGATTAGGCTCACAGTGGTCAAGCTAATCCAGAGATGTTTGGGCTTTAGTTAATAGTTGACATTCAGCAAGAATCAGTAATTCATTGATGTCTAGGAAGAGGTAAAAGGATTGTCCCTGTGTGTCCTGCCCAGGTTAGACTGTAGCCATTGCATTTGTTAGTTGTTCATCTCTGTCATAGAACACCCTTTTGGCTCACAGTTTTAGAGCTTTCAGTCCATAGTCTTTTGGCATTGTTGTTTCTGTGCCAGTGCGTGGTGAGGTAGACAGCATGTTGAAAGAACATGGTGGGCGGAAAGCAGAGAGACAGAGGAAGACTCCATGGACAACATGTGCCTCAAAGGCACACTTCAGTGACCTACTTCCTCCATCCAGGCCCTGCCTCCTGTTAGTCCAATCAGCTATGAACTCACGAATAGATTATTTTGTTGTTATTTTTGGCAGTACTGGGGTTTGAACTGAGGGCCTCATGCTTGCTAGGTAGGCACTTTATCACTTGAGCCACTCCGCCAGCCCTTTTTGCTTTATTTTTGAATAGGGTCTTGCATTTTTTTTGCCTGGAGAGGCCTTGAGTCCAGACTTTATATTTAAGCCTTCCAATTAGCTGGAATGGCAGATGTGTACCACCACACCCAGGTCATTGGTTGAGATGAGGGTCTCTCTAACTTTTTGCCTAGGGTG